TTAGAGCACTGACATGATTTGAACCTGAAATTTAATTGCGCTTAATTTGTAATGCAACCATGTACTGGTTCTTAATTGAAGATCACTTAGACGCTGGTGTCACTGATTTTGAGGTAGATCCGCTCCAAAAGCCTACAGCCCTTGCTTTTACAGCTCATACATTTAACGGGAAAAAAGCTACCATCATTGTTTCTATATTTCTGAACTAATTTTTTTCTTAGAATCTTTCATTAACATATGAAGGGCCACATTAAAGTCCTTTAAAAACAAAGACGTCTCTACTACATATCAATGAACAAAGATAAAGAAGCAACTTTCTAACCTGAAATGCAATCCAAAGGAATCACTTTTTAGCAGGATATTCTCGTAATGTAATTTATTGTCACTTCAGCTTTCAGGCCAACGGCTACATTATCAGGTAATTCAAAATGAAAGCGAGACACCCAAAATACATAATTCTGAACAGGAACTCAGACTACTGATGCAAATAAATCTAATCATTCTGCTTTGAAGATCTGAAACAGCAGTCTTTGGACAATCTCAAAAAGCTGCATCAAATGGTGATGTTAATTTCTTTTATTGTTTAGTTTTAGGCTAAAGACCTAAAACTGGGAGGGTAATTTGAATAAATTCTTTCTTATTCAGTAAAAGAAATCGAATCCCTTCACTTAAAAAGATGAAAGTTCAATATGGCCAGAAGATGAGAGTTTTTAGCCCTTTTGATGGAGACTATTTGAACCTGAAAATTTTGCGTGGCAATCTATCTTGCTAAAAGTCAGGGCGAGATAAAGTGTAATCTGGCTCTGATTTCTGCTGGAAAGAAAACACTGAAATGACTGCTCATTTATCACGGCACCCACCCTCCCCCTCTTCCACCTTGGTTTAATTGACAATATAACACGGAGCTGTTCGTATCTTCCCCAGACCCTTGGAAATGAAGCCAACCCCGTTGAAGGGAGAGTTCTAAAGTACTGGGTTTATTATGTAAAAAAAATCATAAGAAAATAAGTATAGGAAGCGTTTGTAAAAAACTCCACCATCAGGAAGAACACTGGAGACCATCCAAATTCTGTGATGACTCATCAGGTTTTTCTTCTTGTCTGAGTGTTTGGTGAGTCTGCATATGTAGGTTCCCTAATAGAGGCTGCTTAAGAGTTCAGTTTCTATTCATAACACTTCCTAACTGATTGCCACAACCCCTACGCTAGTGATCATGGAAATTAAAATGATCAGATGACTGGTTTCTAATCTAGAGAGATAATTTAGCCAACTAGACACAGCATTTATTTCTTCAAAATAGATGCCTGAAATCACAAAAGAAAAAAAGTTAGTAAGCATACATAATGAGTAAAATCTCTATACAAAATATAAAAATCTCAATAGTAATGATTTATATAATATTGAAACACTAATAGGATACCTTTTCAGATAGTCTAATTAGTTAAGATTTTCTAGTTTTGATAAGAATCCAATAAAACAGCTACTCCTAAATATGGCTTGAAAAATGTATGAATTAGAACAATCTAATAATGTCCAAAAATTATCTAAAAGACTTTAGATGTGTGTACTCTTTAACCTAGTAACTCTATTTCTGAGAATTTATTAAATGGAAACAAGGATATGCACAGATTTTACTTAGGGATATTCACAATAACAAAAAACTAGAAACAAGTACATACAACATGAATATTATTTTGCCATTCAGTGATGTCATAGAACACTTAATGATACCCAAAGTTATTTATAATGTGTAAGATAAAATGAATTCTTATAAAATACAATTCTTTTTGTGAAAAATATATTCACAAGAACATATTGGGGAATATATATACAAAGGTGGTTTATCCTAGGGTAGTGGTATACATTTTGGTCAAGTCTTCTGTTATGGAAAGTATGTCTTCTCTTTCATATCTTTTATCCATGCTGCTATTTGAGTTGTCGGCTTTTTTTCATATTGGTTTGCCACGTTCTTAATAGATTAAGGAAATAAGCCCTTTCTGTCATGTATTTCCAACTTTTTTTCCTATTTGAAATCTTTCAATTTGTGTTTAGAATTTGTATATGAGCACATTTATCAGTCTTTTCATTTATGGCTTTCAGGTTTTATCTTTGCTTGGAAAGCTTCTTCCCTTACACACACATATTACATTTTTTTAACTTCCTGACCACTCTCCTTGTAGTTTCTAGTTTTAATATTTTACTTTTTAAAATCTTTATTCCATTTAGAATCTACTTGGGTTAAATCAGTGAAGTAGGGGCACAGCCTATTTGTACTAACATAATTTATTAGGGAACATTTTTTCCATTGATCTGAAATGTCACTTTTTCCAGAAATTAAATTTTCATTTATAGTTGAATTTCTGGACTCTTTATATTGTTCTAATGACATGTGCATTTGCTCAATATCAACAGACAATTAATATAATTTAATACAATTTAATATAATTGTATAATGTATTTTAATATAGGGCACCATTTCTCCCTTATTACTTTATTATATATTCCTTTTGGGAATGTTTCTGGCAATATAAGATCCAGCCTACCTAGCTTTAAAGAAATCTTTTGTGTGTTTTTATTGATATTACATTAAATGTATTAATGAAACAAGAGAATTGATGTCTTCAAAACATTGATTCTTTAAACCAAGAACAACATATATTTTTATGGTAGATTTTTTTTCTTATTAAAAAAAATGTTCTTCAGGGAGTTTTATACTGCCCCAGAGGAATTATATTTCACTGATTAAGAGAGTAGCCTCTCAAGTCTGTAAGTTACATAAATACTTTGTACCTACATTTCCTCACAGGTTATAATAATATCATACCCCTCAGAGAGTTGTTATAAGAATTAAGTGAAAAGTCCCATCCAGAGCACTTAAAACAGTATCTGGCAATAGTAAATGCTCAATAAATAATTCCTATTACTAGATATAAGGCATATTTTTTTAATTTTTTCCTAGTATTTCTTTAATCCTTCATTGTTGTTATTGTAATGGGAAACTTTTCTTCCCTTTATTTTCTATCAGGTTATTTGTATTAAGAGAATTGTTGATGTTGTACATCAATTTACAGTTGTCAATTTATTAGTTCTTTTTTTCCTATGGCTTTTCAATGGGTTCTCTTCAATTCTGCAAGCATATAATTGTATTATATAAAAACAATTATAAATTTTCCTTTGGGATTAGTTTTACTAACTCATTTTTTTTCCTTTTTTTAAATTGTCTTAGCTAAGACTAATAGTAGAGATAATATATATCTTTTGTTCTTGACTTCAACAAGAATGTGTCATCGCCTATATTTGTCACATCTATAGAAGTTTCTATTTAATTATGTCATAAGTTTTTTTATAGTGGATGTTAACATTTTTCAAATGACTAGCACATATAGAACATGACTCTATTTTTTTCTGGTGACCTACTTAACAAAATGAGTATTTTAATGGTTTCCTAATATTAAACATCATTGTAGCCATATAAATAAAAGTGTATGACTGGACTTGAACATATTATCATATTGGTCTGTTCATATGATTCTATTTACTCATATTTTGGTAAAGATTTTTACAAAGATGTGTATGAAAATGGACTTGAGGTCTTGGGTATGTGAATGACTGTGGCAAGTGCAAATACACTGGCATTTTTAAATTTGGCATCAGTTTTATACTTGCTTCATAAAAGTAATTTAGAAGATTTCTCCCTATTCTCTGAAGCTGTTTAAGTAATAATGGAGTTATCTGTTCCTTAGAGACCGTTGGATTCCCTGATAAAATTATCTAGTCCTGTTGCTCTTTAGGTGAGGAGTATAGTGAAGTCTTAACAATTTCTCAATTTCTTCTAAGGTTTAGATTAGATTTTTCTGTCTCTTCTGATTTGAGTTTTACTCTGTCATATTTTTCTACAAAATCATCAATATTTTCCTATAATTGAGCAAAGAAATACCTTTAAATTATTTTGATTCTCTAGTTATCTCTGGTCATTTCTCCTCATATCTAATTTAAAATTTACTTTAATGTGTAAGAATAATACCTACCCTTATATTGCTTAGCTCTCACTTACTGATCTGATGGCAGTTTAGAAAAAAAAATTTGTATGTCTTCTCAATTTCACGTTGCTTATCTGCTAAAGAATCCAGTGAGAACAGCTATTAGTGACTGAATTCTATGTGCCAAGCTCTCCACAGCAGATTTTACATGTATTATCCCTTTTAATCCTCCCAAAAGGAGCTGTTAGTATCTCTACTTTCCAGATGGAGACACTGAAGCCCAGAGGGGTCAAATAAGTTTTCCAGTGACAAGAAGCAGAGCAAGCATGTTTCAAACATTGGCAGTCTGACTCCAAAGCCCATACCATTAAACCTTATACTCTACCACCCTCCTATCTACCACATTAGCCCTGTAAGTGAGCTTACAACACACAAGTACAAATATCATGGTTCAGAAAATTCTCTAGATAAGTGATTTTTGTCTTCATAGCAGGCAATACTAAGTATTCATAATACCAAGCCATGAGAAAAGGCATTACTCCCTTTGCACATATTTGAAACCTCTCATCAGTATATGTGCCATGCTCAAATCTCTCTCCCACCAAAAATCAGTATTGCTCTTTATTTTAAAAACAATGAAAAGCCAAGGGTTTTAAACAGAGAACTGAACTGATTACATTCATGTTTCCACAGAGTACTCTGACTGCATTAGGAAAACTGGATAGAGGTGGGCAAGAAAGGATGTGTGGAGACCACTTGAAATGGATCCAGCTGCAGTTATCAAGGTGAGGAGTAATGGTAGCATGAATACTAATGTTGACTGAGAAAATGGAAAAAATAGAGTCTGTAGATTTTTTTGAAGGTAGAATCCACAGAGCATGGTGCTAGATTATTCTATGTAGAAGGTGAGAAAGAAGTGTCAATCAGGCCTGGTTTCTGGCTTCTGCAGTTGATGCTGTTGAGAGGAGTGAGACTTGCTCACTCTGTGTCTGTGGCTTCAAAACAGAGATACCCTTGGGAGCAGGATTTCTCAAATCTGAAATTCATGAAAATATAAACATAATTAAAAAGTTATGTATATATGTGTGTGTGTATGTAATATAGGTATCTACAAGTATTACAAAGATACCGAACTATGTCCCTAAAATAGTTTGAGCAATTATAAAAAGGTGGATCCCCAAGAATCTATCTCTGAGAGAACCTCATTTCATCTGACAAAGAAAGACAATTGGAAATTTCTCCACTGAGAAAAATTTCTATTAGAACTGGGTAATTGAGAAACAGTGTGAGGCAATGGAGAAATAGCCCTCAGAAAAACCTTGATCCCATCAAGTACCTCCTGCTTCTTGAAAAAGCAAACTTGCTCTTAGATTTATATTTGTAAAAGGAGACCATAACATCTACCTAAAGACATTATTTTGACTACTAAATGTGATGATATATGTCAAGCACTCAGCCCACTTGGTACACATTAGTTCTTTCCCTGGGAATCAGAGATTTTTCAAAGTACGACATTAACTTTTTACCTTGGCAGAAATTATTTCCTGCCTTTTAAATAGAACTAGTGCTTTTAGAAGCTAATATTGATGAAATAAATTTGTAATCTTGCAAATTCTTAATATCTAATACAGAAAGAATATTACTTAAGAGCATATCAACATGAAATTTCTATGAAATTACTAGATGCGTTGAAGAAATGTAAAATATAATTTTGTCAGTGAAATTTGGTCTGTTAAAAGGCACGGGCACAATTTTTCAAATACATACCTTTGCTTTAACTTCCTTAAATGTCATATGGTATAAAAGTGTTCTTGTATCTATAAAACCAGCTTAGTAGTTCCATCAAAATTATAACAATGATACAGATGTAATTCTGTTACAATGAAAATCTTAAGAAATGGTCAATATTTTAATTGCCTTGAAATTGGTGTTTTTGTTGTTGTTTATATCATGCATAAATGATTACTATGGCTTTATAATCATTTACTTATATAGAGTTTCATTTTCATGGTAAGTGGGTTTGCTCTAACACACAGGGTTGGGATTAATAGTTTACAAGTCAATGTTCCCACTGCGCAAACTATAAAGATTAATTTCTCTGGAAACTTAGGTTAAGGTATACATATAGGTGATTAGATAAATAATAAATTTTACTTAGAAAAAATGGAAGAAAAAGAACCTTAACCTAGAACACACAAGAAACAAAAGATAGAGTACCTAATAGTAGGAGTGACTAGTAGGAGTGACTACTGATTGGGCATTTGGGATATGCTAATTGTGCATGTGTGTAATTTTAATTCATCCTCATAACAACCCTATGAAGCCAGAAGAGGTTAATTATGCCCAAACTCATACAGACAGAAAGCAGCAGAAATGGAATGACCTGTCCAAACCTAACTGACCCCACATTCTAGCTGTGCTGTTCTCTCCTAGATACCCATTTCTCTCCAGCAGCCAGTTCACTCAAAGAAGACAAGAGTCCAAATAAATGAAGGATCCCTTTCTGCTTAAGACCTCTTTTTCAGTCAAACAAATTCAACTCTTTTATCTGAAGCACACATTGAAATCTATGAAATAGCTTAAGTCAGAGAAATGCCTGAGTTCAAAACATATGCAAAATAAAGGAGGAAAAAAAAGCCCACCCAACATTGCATCTGCTGATTCACAGTTTGCAGATACAGCCTGCTACTTTAACTAGTGTGCAGCAGCTAACTTTATTTACATCCCAACCTGGTGAAGAACGTGGAGATGAGGAAGAACAAGAGGCAGGTGAATGATAAAGTCTGCAGGGTCTTGTCTGTTACTTAACACATGGGAAGTTCTAATAAACATTTCCAAGTGAAAAAAAGAGCCTGAGACACACAGGAGGCGTGGGCTCTTGGAGGTATTGACAGCATTATTTTATATATTTAAGGAGAGTCCTGCTTGGACAAGAATAATCCTTATTGTTTTTACTTTGTATATTTATCAGTTTATTGAGTTTATTAATTTTACAGTTTTACTAAAAGTAAAAGCTATTATACAACTAATAAATGAAAACCTACATTTAACAAAAAGGCATCAACCATTTCAATAATTATTTCAAACTTAGTCAAACTTCTCACAATTAATTCATCACAAATCTAATTCATGATAAAGTTAAGTGATTCAAACAATTCACACAAATGATCACAATAATTATAAAACTTTCTATTATACTTAAATGGATTTAAATGTATTCATACCTTGAATTGCATTTCAATTTGCTTCATCATCCTCACACCTGTTCTTATTTTTAAAATAATTTTGTATGCTCCAAACATTATTCAAAATATTTAACAACAGTACCATTGACCAAGTAAAACTGGATGTATATAGTACTGAAGTGAGCTCCTAAGCTCCCCGACCCACCTGCCCCTTCAGCTGTTCCAGGCATAAACCCTTTCGTGGCTAAATCAGAGGAGATCTGTGGAGGTACAAGGGAGGACTGATGGGTATGTGGCAAGGTTGAAGTACTTAACCAGCCTGAATGGAAGCATTTCAATTTTAACCACTAGTATAGCCATAGCTGCTCTTACCCAAGGAATATCAGCTCTTCCTGCAATAATATTACAAGATTCTTAAAATAATACCACAAGACTGAGAAAGACTTTCTCAAACAAGCCAAGATTAATCTGGGTTATTGACCAACTGACCAGTTGTATGGGGCACTCTGCCTGTTCATACCATCCAAGGTGACTTGAACCCTAACCAAAAACAATCTGACTGGGTCACTTTTGTTGCTTGGATTTTGATCACCATGATTTTTCAAAGAATACAAGGCTATGACAGATAATTTTTGACATCTCACAACCTTAGATATTCTCTCTATTTGAAGCCTGTTTTTCAAGGATTTTATTTTAAAGATTTTGCTTTTTCATTATTATAAAACCTTATTTTCATCCTCTTGTTTAACTTGGGCCCAGACTGGCTTGATTAGGCTGGCAGTCTCTGTGAAAAGTCCGGTCCATCATAATCCCAATTCTTCCTTGTCATCAACAACAAAGGCTTCCTTCTCATCAATAATCAGTGTTGACACAGAGAAATTGGTTTGAAGGAGAAAGTAAAGAGCTTAGTTTTGGACATGCTGCCTTTGAGACATATTCATTTTGGCATGTGAAAATTCATCCCTAGTCTGTAGGAATTAAATATAAAGACCTAATTGGAGAACCACATGTATAGAAATGCTAATTAAAGACTTGAAAATGGGTATGATCATTAAATATAAAAGAAAGAAATGAGAAAACCAGTAACACAACCTTGGGCAGAAAATGTGATGTAGTATTGTTTGAATGACCACAAAAACATTAATAACTTAAATGTCCATCAATCAGCAAGTGATTAAATTGTGGTTCATAATTATGCTGATACCAATATTATACAACTATTGGAATAAGGCAGATCTATGCTTGCTACCATGGAAATATTTCCTAGTTATATTGTGAAATTTACAAATAAATCATGTGTACGTGCATGTGTGCGGGTGCGTGTGTGTGTGTGTGTGTGTGTAAAAACAAGGTATGATCCCAAGTATGTAAGAGGAAAATAAACATTACATAATATGTATATTCATGCATATATCTATATACAGGCATACTTCAGAAATACTGCAAGTTCCATTCCGTAATAAAGCAAGTCAAATTTACTTTTGGCTTTCAAGTGCATATAAAAGTTATGTTTACACTTTACTATAGTCTAGTAAATATACAATAGCATGATGTCTAAAAAATGTACAAAGCTTCATTTTAAAATTCTCTGTTGCTAAAAAATGCCTTTATCTGAGCTTTCAGTGAATCATAATCTTTTTTGCTGGTAGAGGGTCTTGACTAGATGTTGATGGCTACTGACTGAACAGGGTGGTGGTTGCTAAAGATGGGGATGGCTGTGGTAATTTCTTAAAATAAGACAGCAGAAATTTGCCACATTAATTGTATCTTCCTTTAATGAATGATTTCTCTGCTGCATGCAATGCTGTTTGATAGCATTTTACCCACAGAAGAACTTCTTTCAAAATTGAACTCAATCTTCTTAAACCCTGCCACTGCTTTATCAACTAAGTTTATGGAATATTCTATCCTTTGTTGTCATTTCAACAATTTTCATGGCATATTCACCTGGA